ATTAGAAAGTACATTTCACCCATCTCAGGAGCACATTCATCCTTTCCTGCACAACGCAAGAGTTCATTAGGAGCGTTTTTCCTGGCTGGATATGCCAGTTAAGGAGACATTTATACACATGGCATTGTTGGCTTGTGTTTCGAGTCCAGACCCTGCTGATGGGATGGTTTCTGATGTCAGGAGACCTTCCACCCTGCAGGAAGTATTTCTGTGAGGGTGTGCAATCATCTTTGACAGTCCCTGCCAACAGCAGGAGTGCAGGGATATTACTGATGCTGTTATATTTTATTTTCCCCAAACAGTTGCGAAGTAGCTCTCATCCTTTTTAACTCTAATGCCAGTAGTTCATTGAACAGCCTGCTCCTCATTCAGTTAGCTCACAATTCCTCAAAGTGTTTGGCTAAATTTATACAACATCGGGCTTTATATTAACGATGTTGCTTTAACTGGTACCTTTTGGACTTTTTATTCAGAAAACTCACCTGACAGTAATCCTGGTTAAGTAAAATGAGTGCAACTGAAACAAAAGTTTGTGAAATAAGGTGGACAAACAGCTGGAGGAGCACCTTGAGGAAAAATAAATCCTGAACAACTGGAGGTAAATTATACAAGCCTCTCGCATGGCTGCTCCAGCTCCAGAACTGCTGCCTCTCCATCATCCAGAGGCGTATACAGTCAAAGTATATTTTGCATAACTCTGCGGGCATACACTGAGAATAACAGAATGGTTTTACTCTTAGTTATTCAGCTACCATTAGGGGTTAAGGTCCTAAATTTCAACTTTGACACTGTTTTAAACAGGGCAGGGAAGTTGTTTCACATGGAATTCTTCATTTCTCCATTTGTATTTCTAAATACATATAATATAGTGTGTGTGTGTACTTAGAATAAAAAGGGGTCAGTAACTGTACTGAATACTAAAGGCAGGAAGTGTGTACAGTCTTACCTACAGCACCTGTATGTGTTAGCACTGTATCTATTTATCATTTCTATTTCAGGGGTACCTAGGGGCCTCTATCTGTTGTCATCATTTTTACATGAGCACTCACTATTCTTTCTCCGGATCACTGTTTTCTGTACATTGCACAAGATAGATTGTAATTGAGGCAGAATGCTGGTGAAAGGGGGAAAAAAAAGACATCCTTCCCTGTCTAGTCCTGAGCCTGGGAGCACTGGTTCTCCCTTTCTGTCTGCCACAGTCACGGTTCTGATGGTCAAGACTAATAATGCGTGCACAGGGAGTTGGCATGATGCTTACCCTCCAGCAGATTGATACTGGAATTTTTAACTCGCGATTATTTGGTGTAGAGCCGTTAAATTGATCTGTATCAGATCTGCAGTTGTTTTTATCAAGCCTGTAATTGTTTATAATGTTCATAGATCAGAAGATCTGTTAACTAGAATTATTAACCCAGTTTTGAATTAAGAACTCTGAGTTCCCTACTTGCCTGGAAAGAGCATATTAAAAGAGGCTGCAGATGTCAGCAAAACAAAGCTGGTTTAATGCACTTGATAGTAGACAGTCTTATGCTTCACATCTTTGGGAAGATGTGTATTACAAGAGCAGTTCTGCTTTTTGCATGCACGCAAATTTGAATTTACATTATTCTTTAAGAGGCTGTGCTTTAGTTCAAAGAAGCATGTGAGCAGTGGGGCTGAAAAGAAGAAAAGAGGGGGTAAATTATGAAGCCATCCTAGAGAGAACAGAAGGTTCATAGTCATATCAAGTGTGTCCTAGCACTCTTCTATCTTGGTTAGCCCATTGAAGTCAGTGGAAGTCCTTTCCAGTTTCCTGAGTCTGCGCTGTCGAGGCACTTGTTCTATTGCAGGAGCAAAATGAATGTCATGTCTTATGTCCTGCTTTTCCCAAAATACATGCTCCCCTGTTAGTTGTCCTGTTGGGTGCTCCACAGCCCTCATGGTTGCGGGGCTAAGCTGCCAGCCTTGGGAGATGTCCCTGTGTTTGTGGGGAGCACAGGAGCAGAGCCAGAGGCTGCATTCTGGTGACAGGCTTTGTGCACAAGACAAACTGAGCCAGGTCATGTGTGGCAGTTCTGAGGCTTCCCCTGTTTTCCTTGTGTCTTTGATTTTTGCAACATCATCTCTCTTATGGCAGCACCAGAATCATCACCCTGGCTTCCCCAAAAGCTTCTGCAGCTGTCTGTCTCCTCTTTTGCTTCTGTTGACTGGTTTTAAATCCCATTAGCTGGCTGGAAGGCATCCCAGTGAGGTAACATCATGTGAGACACCAGAGTATCCATAGAGGAAAAAAACCTTACAAGTGTTCCAACCATGTCAAAGCTTCAGAGTTCACAAGAAGATGATTCAGTTCTGGAAAGAGTCACACCATTTTCATACTGTTGTTCACTTAACTACAGAACAGGATGACAGAGACAGCTACTGGAGTGCATCTTGTGTGAAAAATTATTCTGGAATAGCATGCATTCAGCAGTATGTTTCATGACAATCTCTTGGGTAACAGTCCTATTCCAGAAACCTCTAGTACAGCTTTTATTTGCAAAAATCTAGTGAAGATAAATGGCATATAATAAACCAAACTCTTCTGTCCCCACAACCTGTTAAGTCACAAAGAAGCATCCCTCCCAGCAATTCTGAGTCACAACCGCTTTTTGAGCCCATCTGCAAAGGAAGCCTCCTTATTCCGAAGTACTTGTGATCCTTCTAGAGCATGAAGTAGGAGAGAAAAGAGTTTGGGGGGCATAGCTAGTTAGGATTTTTTATTACATCTGTGTCAGCATTTCACTGAATGAGACTTGCACGAGCCAGGGAGGCAGTGGTGGGGAGGCAGAAGCCTTACTCCGTAGGGTGCAGCAAGACAGAGTGCTCCACACTTCTGGCTTGAAGGAAGGATGCTGCCTTATAAAAAGAAGAGCTTGCCCCACTTTATGGTATAAAATTATTACCTACAGATCATTTTGTCTGGATAACTTTTGCAACATTTTATTTTCATCTCTGTCACAGCCACTAGAAATCCGACTTGTCAAAGATATTTGTAAACTGCAGTAACTTCTTGACTGGGTGATCAGCACTAAAGACCTTGAAAAATTGGCAGAAGTTTTCACCCTGTGAAACGTTAAGATCAATAAAGCAAATTGATAAATACCATTTCATAGAATATGGGCTCTCAGATGAAATGCTCCAGCACAGAGCAGTAACAGATCATTCCAGGTGCGGAACATCATACTTTAAAAGCCATACAGTTAATGCTGTAAAAGGAAGGATTAGATGCGATGTGATTGATTCTTCTACCTTATGTCATAAGAAGTTGCTTCAGCTGTGTGTGGTTCTTGAGTACCTAAAGAAAGAGGTTACCAGAAAAAGTCAACCCTTAAATTGCAGACAAGGAGCTTCTACTACCAACAGTATTACATCATCAAAGTATTTCAGAGACACTCAGAAATAAGCTGTGCTTCTGTACGTCAGTGAAGCAGCAAATTGAATTCTCATAATATGTTTTGAAAATGAGTCTTGTTAGGTTTGATGAGGTGGAAAAGGTACTAAGATCACTGGTTTGTTCCAGTACGTTCAGTGCGCTTTCTTTGGATGCTTGCCATGGCTAATCTTTTTAATGGCAGTGTAGCTTGTAAACCCATTTGGTAGAAAGCTATATGTCTCAGTTTCAGAGCATCCCACCAAGTAGGGCGGTAAATAAGTTTCTCTTCAAGCATGCATACCTTTTTGTTACAATGCCAGAAATGCTTTCTTAACACACGTCAGGAAAACCTCAGTATTTCCTTTATGAATAAAGTGATGAGCAGAACAAAATACGAATGTCATTTTAAATACACCCAACATACATGTGTAGATAATATGCATCAGCCTCATGATGTATTCATCAAGGATAAACTTCAGTTCATTCAGGACCAATATTCAAGAAACTGAGTCACAAACGCCCTGGATTTCCCCCAAACTTCTCTTTGGCTGCTTCCCCATGCCGTTTTGGAAATGGTCTGGGAAAAAAAGAGGGCCTTGCAGCATGCTGAGCCATCATCACATTCAAAGTTCTGTCATACTAAGCATCTGGATTAAAGAACGAAAGCTTTGGCTTTAGGCTCCCAGCGGTTGAACCGGAGGCTGCCACTTCAGGTCCTTTAGGTGATTTCAGCCTGTGGTTCACACAGGCATGTTGAGTTAGCTTACTTCTGACTGTTCTGTAGGTTAAATTAAACAGGTTCTGTTGCCTTTTAAAGGTAAGTTATAACACACTGGAGATCACATAGCACATTTACAGTGACCCCACAGCATAACTACCATTTAATCAGCTTCTATTCCAGATGCCTTTACGGAATAATTTGCATCTTGTTAACACAGTTTCATGTAAAGGTACAGGACCTTATGCAGTCAGTATCATTGTCCTTAAACCTTATTCCCAATTCCTTGGCTCTGCAGAAATCCCCTGAAGAGCCTGCTTTTGTGTCATCCCTTCCCTTCTGTCAGGCTCAGAGAATCCATACAGGTGGGAGTTGTGTACAGCTGCAGAGATCCCAGTGCTCTGAACTATTTTCTGTTAAAACATTCCTGGATAGCCATCCTTGAGAGAACCCTGCAAAGAAATCCTGTGAGAAGAACTTGTTTTTCCCCTAGGTTTCCTGTTTCATCTTCTCTTTATTTATTTTCCATGGTGACAGCCAGCAGCCTGCTCTGGGCTTGAGCTGTTGAAATGATTTTCATACTTTCACACAGGTAGTTTTCTGTCTTTAAACACTTTCACATGCAAGACTGCAAAGTAGGAGGGAAGAGTTCAGAGACTGTATGTGTCTTAATGTGTTGACCTGAAGAAGAGTGGTAGATATGAGAAACAGAGAAAGAGCACATGAGAAAGAAAGGGGAAGGAGAAAAGAAGGATGATAAATTTGAGAAGAGTCTAAAAGAGCTGCTTTTTGCCAGTGACATCTTTTAATTAATGTGGTTGATTGAGCCAGAGGTTTTTGGCTGCTTCCAAGGAGTTGCTGATGGCTGTGATTGTGATTTGTTTGCAGTTACCCCTACAGTGAGGACTCCAGCCAGGGAAAGCAGTACATGAATACAAGATGTCCAGCCTGGTGTGACAGAATCCTGATGTCCCACTCAGCCAAGGAGCTCATTTTGAAAGTAAGTACAGACCTGCAGCCACACTGCGGCTCCACGTATGTTTACCTTCAGCAGAGGTGGGTAGGGCTGATACACTTCTGCTTGTTCCTGGATTTTCAGTTGCCTGTAGCAAACACCACGCTAAGACAGCTTACCATGGCAGTAATGAACTGTTATGCCTCCAGTGCCTCCCACCCAAGAATGCAGGTTTGTCCCAGTTGAACTGTTGGCAGTTACCAAAGCCCAAGGTGTCACAAACGCCTCTTGTGGTACATGAGCTGCCAGCGCTGGCTGCTGCGGTCTCTCCTGTGTGTGTCAGTGCTGCCCTGGGGTGCGGGCCGATGGGAAACCTGCCTCTTTTTAAACAAGAATAACAGAAAATAAAACCCCATCAGTCCCCAGCCCACTGCACAGCAGCACGAGCAGCCCTTGCTGAGGCTTCAGCTCAGACGCAAACAGAAGCAGGAGTAGCTGCTGACTGAGGAGTAATGCTACTGGAAGAAAAACCTGTGTGGCAGCAGCTTGAGGGACCCGAGTTACAAGTGTGGTAGATTTAAGTTCCTTCTGTTGCTGATGGTGAGAACTGGATTTCCTAAGAGTATGTTAGTTCCTAGATAGGCCAAATCTCCTATCACTGTCCCCTGAATGAAGGCAGAGTCTCCAACAGGTAGGCTCCTAACCTTGGTACACTTATTAAGTGCCTCAATTTAGACATTCCACTGGAGCTTTAAAAATACCATTGTACAACATTTTTAGAACCTATAGTTCCCCTTGGGGTTTTAATGTACAGCAGTAAGGTAAACCTGGTGATGTTCCACCCAGGGTTGATCTAGACAGAGGTCAGGAGCTTTCCAATTTTCCTTTTCCCTCATTTTCTCTCTCTCCTGCTTACTGCCCTCTGCTCTCTTCCTTTCCTTGGAAACACTGAACCAGGTCAGCAGTTACATGAGCCAGCTCACACTGCCTCTGATTTTCCTGTATGCTTGCCTGTGGTAGCTGGGGAGCCGTCCTGTTTATACTAGGTACCAGCTGTTGTAAAGGACCAAGAACACATCAGGAAATCATGTATGATATCAGGAGATCCCACCCAGGCCTTTCTGCCCTGAGCTAAGCTTTCCCTCCTGTTCCCAGCCTTGGCCACGAGCACAACAGAAGGGTGAATGTGCTGTGACTTGCAGTGTTGAGGTTATCCTGCTGACCAGACTATCTGACTGTCAGATACAGAACAGACTCGCCAAACCCGAAATTGCCGTGTGTCTGTCTGTATGTTGCTTTTATAAGTAATGCAGCTGAATGGGAGTGAATTGCAGAAAATCATCTTCTCAAAGAAATCCGTATTCTGTAGTTTCATGGCTTCTTTTTTCTTCTGTTTAGATTAACGGAACCCTTGAAACTTGCTCTCCTGAAGTTTATAACCTGTTTCTCTCTCTCATCAGGGTTATTTGTCTCATGATTAGACTGTTTGCTTTGCAGTATATAACTCACTGAAAGGCTGAGAAGATTTTTTCCATAGCTACTCAAATTTCCATTCAATGTTCTTCCTCACTTATTGTAATGTGTAAGAAGTGTCTGCAAGAGAGCTTGAAGCTTCACCCAGAACTTTAGACAATGCCTGTACTACAGGATTTAATTAAAATACCATGGAGCTGAGAGGAACATAGGCTTTGAACAGTAATGTCAAAATCAGTGTTATCTGATCTTGTTGGACAGAAATATCCTATGAAAAAGTGAGACTTTACCCAAAATATCAAAACCTAGTACTTGGTGCCCATGAAATTCCTGAAGAACAAAGGTTTAAAACCATGGAAAGAGTGGCCAATGAGGGAAGTTTTTTCTTTAAAAGCTGTGAATAAGCAGATAGAAGTGTACACAAAGGCTTGAAGAGTGTAAACAGTACAGAGGGAAAGGAATTCTTTCAGGTTATCTAGGGGGTATAACTTGGATATAATGGGAGAAAATTAAACAAAGGAAAGCCAAGTTAGAGCGTTACAGAAATGTGTAACTCTGAGGTCGCTCAGCCCAGTTCTCGGTCTCCATGGGCCAGAAGCCCAATGGTTGGATCCTTCAAAGTTACATTTAAAACGCACAGAATTTTGTCCCTGCGTTTGCAAATTCCGAGCCCGCAGTGTGGGACATCTCCAGAAGCGCGTACACAAGGTTGCAGCTGGGGATGAGGCCGCACAGCACAGTGGCTTCCCTCAGGGAGTTTGTACAGAGAAAGGAGCCAGCTTACCCAGCTCAAAACCAGGCTGCAAGTCTGGCCCATAAAGCTGAATGGAAATATTTAGTAGAAAAGAATGCCGAAGTGATAGAGGAAAGGGAAAAATGACCTTACAGGTTTCTGTGGTTCTGCACAGCAAGCACTATTTGCCTTGCCTTTGAGAATTTACTCCATTGCAGAGGCTTTGGAGCTTTAAAAGGAACTGCGAAGAAAGTAAAAGCAGATTTTAATTAACTCGTTACACTATGACATATCCTTCAAACACAAATATATATGAAATTGTAAAGAATTTCTGGCTGTAGCTAGGTATTGAATATTCTGAGGCAGGTAATTATTTTGCTGTATTCATTTTTCTTATAGGCAAATAAAGAATTTATTTTTCTCACTTTGCAATTCTATATTTTATTTAAAACAACTCTGGTAAATCTGTATTTTAATCCCATGTAAAGAAAGGACAGGGTGCACAAATTGCCACACTGTACAGTGTGCTCAGCTCCACAGTAGGCATTACAGATTGTACAGACATGGGCTGTAAACAGCTTTCATGCAACATCATCTATCATGCCATGGTCGGTTACCTCACCATCATGTTATTTTATGCTTCCTGAGCCCTAAAACACCAAAGGTTGCCCACTGCTAGGGAGCTGCCTTGATGCCTGATAGCATGAAGTAATGAATGCTCAGCCAAGTGTATATTGTTTCTGCTTGTGCACTGCTGTAATTTGTTTATCTGTCTAAAGATTATGCAGTTGAAAATCCACAATTTTATGCTGCCTTTGTAAATTATCAAGTCACTTTTGATGAATGTATCCCCACTTCCGATGCTGGTGGCATTATGATCTTGAAATATTGGAAAGTGCTCATGCATACAATGCAGAAGGTTATGTTTTTATATTTTTGGCAGACAACCATGCTATAAAGTAAATCTGACCTTAAGCTTCCTTACTGCATTAAAGATAATTCAGTTTTAACTTTATAGTCCTAAATGCTACTGTTTATATAAAGTTAATGCCCAGTAAACTTGACTGATTACAGATGAGAAAGTCTTGACTGTTTCGTACAAAATAAATTAGTATTGCCAACTGCTTTAAAGCACATCTATGATTGTATTAGAGACTTGGGAGTGTGCAGATCGCAGGTGTAATTAGCTCATAGGAATTGTTCAGCATAAGAAATCGTCTTGTATGGCAGTGGTTTTGTATTTATTCCTGAAGTATTGTGCTTGAGAATCAAAACAGATTCTCAAAATGACATTTATTGCAAGTGACAGAAAGATGAGTACGTTTTATTATTCGTTAAGTTACAAATGCTAAAGAAGTCAGTGCATGAGGATAGAGTTCAACATGGAACAAAATGAAAGTGATTCATAATGGAGTCTGGAGAAATGTCATCTTTCACTTCCTGGTTTTCTTAAAGTTGATAGGTTTTTTCAGAAGAAGAAATATGTCTCATAGAAAGGTTAAAGATTATACTCATAAACTGTAAATTCATTCCCTTCTCCAAACATTTAAAATCACCTATATGGTGAAATCAGATGCTCTTAGAAGGCAATGTGGATTGCATTTAATTTGAAGAACAGCATCTATCGCTCCTCATTCAATAAAAATTGTGTGCTGTTCTTAAAAAAGGACTGGCCAAATGCACTGACTGCATGTCCCTGGCAGAAGGCTGGATGCATCATACCCAAGCCATTCATTTCACCCACCCAATTGTTAAAATGTCTTGAGGTCCCAGTGGCAAGGAGTAGGTGCAGTGATTTTGTCAGTTATTTTGCATGGACAAATTGCACAAATGACTGCAAACAGCACTGGACATAAAAACTCATTCTACGTGGTCTTTCTCTGGAGAAGCCAAATGAAGATGTGTTTATGTTGCTTTGCTCAGAAGCTGGTTTGAACTATTTGCATAAATCTTTTCTGTGTTTCTTTCTGTGTGTGTAATGCAGAGAATGCCTGCACTGACCAGGGGTTTGTTGTGTTTCTTTTTCTTTTAACTAGTCAGAAAATGATGAGAAGATAGTAATATATGACCACATTGGGCCTAATGTCTGCATGGGGGATCACAAGGTAAATAAGCCAAACATTTAGACTGTATCTCCTAAGTCTTTCTCATGAGGACGAAGAATGTGTGCAGTAGTTTCTGTTAACTCTATGTTTAAGTCAACTATATCTCTCTCCTATTTTCAATTTAAAGGCTTGAAAATGTTTTAAAGTTGTATTCAACTGAAAGCAGACAGTATATTAGAGTAGGCACTTGTATGAAATAAAATAAAGAACAGGATGATGGGCTCTAGGCTGGAAGCGTGGTACAATACAAAATGAAGAGGAGCAGCAGCTGTCTGTGCACTTACGACTCTTGCTGTAAAACAGAAGTAGTTTGATTGTAGTTGAAAACCCACTTTTTACTAGGTTATTAAAAAAGCTTCCAAGGCATAGATTCCATGAAGTTGGTGCCTCGCTGCTCGTTAGTAAAACAACATATTGGCAGCGCCAAGACAGAATTTTACAACCTTCTCTGCTGCAGATAGCAGGTGGGAAGCACAGTCAGGAATTCAGCCAAACTGAGCGTTTGCTCTCTTTGAAAAAAGCTGATCAAGGAGGAGGAGGAAAGCTCTGAAAGCCCAGAGTAAAACAATACAAGACCTATAAAAACTCATGTAGAAACTTGTAAACTATATGATAGTGGTAATGCATCAGACAGCACTAAGCCTCTTGAGTGTTAATTCAGTGATGGATAGTGGGTAACCACATGTGTATGCATGCATCCAAATTCACAAATACATGCCTGTATTTACTTTCATGGTCAAGAGTTCTTGTGAGACAGTGGTGTTGTTCTAAGGAAGAATGTGCTTAAGGTATTTGTCCAGATATACCCAAGTTGGGTTTTAAACTACAGCAGTTTACTCACTGCTACGGTGAGATGGGAAGCTCAGCGTGTCAGCAGCTGCAGGGCAGCCAGCTCACAACCAGAAATCTCTTTCCCTTGTCACTGGTGTACCTAACGCAGATCTTTTTAGCATGCAGTTGCAGCAGAGCACTGATGCAATCAGTGATAAGGGGGAGCTGTGTCTAAAACCAGAGCCTCTTCCTGTGGAAATCAGGGGCAAATTTCCCCTTAGACTTCAAGGGGAGCAGAGACCTGTAGGAAGATGATGGAGTTCTCCTGTGCATTTTGTAGCTAGATTAATCAGAAAAATGCTTGCACTGTTTTGTTCCCAGTCTTAGAGGAATTTTTGTTGTGTTTACTGCTGACTGTGAAAACATAATGGTTCCATTTCAAACATGTAACTTCTATTTTTCCCTGACTTGCTGCAGCCTGTGTTCCTGTCCTTTCGAATAGCTGCTGGGGCAGGTAAACCTATTGCAAATGTGCACAAGTGTTGTGTCGTGCAGTGATGTGGTGGTAAATATCATTTTTTTTCCTCTACGTTTATATTCTCTACAACATTTCCCCTGTGTTTATTTTTCTTTTTAAAAACCTGCCAATTCTGCAACAGGAAAAAGATGCCAACGGAACGAGAAGATTTTCCGTGAAGCCAGCCTGTAGCAGGAGGGAAGGAGCACACCACGAACCGAAACACTTAATCCTAACAGCTGTATTGATAAATCAAGTCCCGAGTGCCACATTTTTAGACTGCTGATCGTACACTATGCTTCAGCATCTGGACTCTGTTTGAGAAAAGCCTCACATACCTCACTGTCTTGTATGTTCATGTGACATCAAGTAGAAACGTGGAATTATTTTTTATATATATGTCACGATTCTGTTGCCAAAACTCTAAATAGACAGCAGAGATGTTCTGTATTTTAGATTTCACGACTTTCAACTTTTAGTAAGTGTTTGTCAATGTGGAAAAGCATATTATGAACTTCTAAAGGTGTCATGCCTAACATTATATATCTTTACCACTTTGGGGTTTTGTACATTGGATTGTATAGATAGAGCTATCGATGGTTTTAAATGGTATTTTCTTTGTTGACCAAGGCTTATGGTTTGTGTTTTTAGTTTTAGTATTTTGGTTTTCATTTTTATAATTTTTTTTCTCATGTTATTTACTATACTGCCATGTTACATGGTTTTTGAATCACACAGCAGCTGCTTTCTATACATACATATATGTGTGTGTATATATATGTATGTATGTGTATATATACACAGATATATAAATAATTTATAAACCTGACCAAAACTTATGCTAAATATACTTTCCAATATGAATGCTTGAGAGTGCCATATCAGCAGTTAGTGTCCGAGTCCTAGCAGGTTTAGTTAAGTGTACATCAACAGCCAACATTTATATAATAAATAATATATAGCAGTGCCATCCTGGATACAGATATATATAGCATACTATATAGCACATATATTAGCAGTTTCACTTTGTTACTCCTATAATCCCTTCTTTCTATGTAATATTAAGGATTGAATGTGAAGTTCTTAGCTAGGTTTGGGTGTAACTTTCCAGAATTTTGTAAACTGGTTTTGTCTGTCTTTTGTTACTGTTTATGGTGCCAAGTATTCTATATTGAAACAATAACAACACGGGAGAAGAGAATGATAGTCTGCTTCAGGTAGCAGCTATATTGGACACAGACTGTATTTATACAGTGTTAAAAGAAGAAAAAAAAAAAACAACTGTAAATTTTCCTGGTTAGTAGCTCGGTGCAGCTATAATATAACCTTGTTACGAACATTTTTCTCCCACCACTAAATAAAACATTAAAAGGTAATTAGGGAGTCTGTTGATGAAACACAAATGTATGTTTTATTGATTTAATTTAGAACACTACAGAGTTCATGGACTGCGTGATGGCATTAGATTGATGCTTGATTTTGGTATAAATCACTACCATTGAAAATGATTTGATGTCCGCTTGCAGAGTGTGTTCTCAGCAGTACGAGCTGGGTTTCTGTTAAGTGCTGTTGCCCAGCGGGTGTTGCAGCTCTGTATCGTCGTTGTGCCATGTTGCATTATAACCACACAGTAATTCTATTTAAGCAAACTCATGATAACTTCGAAGGCCTTTAGAAACGAGTACTCTGGTTCTCAAGCAATAAAACTAATCATGGTGAATGCGGTTGTGTCTGTCCCTTTAATTTGAGCATTGGTGACTACAGGGAAATTATTTAATTGTCACATATCTTATTAATGAGTTACCTTTTAATCTCCTGCCAGTTAACGGGGTATTTCTCAGATGGGAACCCGTGTTGCAGAATGCAGCTCGCAGAGTTAACCAAAACACAAGACAAACCGAGGAAAAGACGTTTTGGAGTTTGCGTTGGAGTGCTAATGCACGGGGAGTTACGTGACTGTGAGCTGTTCAGGAGATGCCAGCGCGCAGCAGCAAGATGAATTTGCCACCGTGAGCTCCTTCCTGACTCCCCCCGGGTGCAGAAAACCCGCTGCCTGGTCAAGCTCGTGATGGAGCCTCGTTCACTCCCCGCAGCCGTAGAGCGGGAGGCTGTGAATACGGACCCCGCCGGGCTGCAGGCGCAGGGCAGGGGTGACCGGTCACAGTTACTCGACGAGTCATAAACTGAGCCCGCAGGAACTCGTAAAACGCAGCTTCGGCGCTGAGCGACGCCCGAGCGGGGCCGTTACCGGCAGCGCTCCCGCCCGCAGCTGGGGGATCCGGCCCCAAGACCGCTGTCGGTCTCTGCGCAGCGCCAGGGCCCCGCTCCGCGAAGCACCGAGCGGTCATCCCCGAGCGCAGGTGCTGGGGCTCGGCGGGCCGCTTTAACTGCGCTCCCAGGCAGGCAGACAGCCGCAGGTGTGAATGATCCGACTTGCAGATGCGGGTGGGCTTCATTTGGTCGTTTCTCCTTAGGAGCCGGAAGGCCGGCTCCGGTTCATCGCTGCGGCGGCAGCGGTCAGCGGCCTGTCTCGGAGTGCTCAGAGCCCAAGAGCAGTTTATAAACTTGATCTGCTCCGTCTGTAACCGCGGTGCAGCTCGAGCGAGGTCCCGGCAGGCCCTGCTCTCAGTGAGTAATGACTTGCAGAACCCCCAGTCCCGTCCCCCGAACCGAGGAGCTGCCCGGGTCCGAGGGAAATAAATAGGACGAGCGAGACCAGCGGCCTGGGGGGAGCGGCACAGGCGGGCCGGGGGTCCCGGCGGGGGGAGGCGCCGATCAGAGCCTTTGCTGCCCTTCCTCTTAGCGAGATTTGTCCCGAGGCAGGCCGGGGCCGCGGACCCCGTGCAGCCACCGGGGAGCAGCGGCGGTGGGCAGCGGGGCCGCAGCTCTCGGTTCCCGTCTGGCTGGCGGGCAGAGGCCGCAGCCGCCCACGGTCAGGGAGCCCGGGAGCGCAAATCCGGCCCAGTGCTGTGGAAGACGGCTGCGGGCAGCACCGGGACTCGTAACCGGCCCGCGGTGCCGGAGCGTGTCACGGCCGCCCCCAGGGGCGCTGTCCTCCGCCGGTGGAACGCGGCCGGCCCGCAGAGTGGCCGTTGCTTTTGTTCAGGCTGCGAAGCAGTAGCTGGGAGGCGGAAGGAACAGAATGGCTCATTCATTAAATTAAAGTAAACGGCAAAAAGGCAGCGCGGTTAGCGGCTGGCACCCGCTGCGCTTCCGACGTGCCCGGGCAGCTGCGTGGCAGCTCGACGGCTGCTCCGTTGCCTGGGTCTCGTTATGGGCAGGTCGTGACCCCGCCGGTAGGTGCAGGGCCGCCAGTGCCGGGTGCGGGCCGGGGGCTCGCGAGGTCGCTGTTTACGGACCCCGCCGCCAGGTCGGTGTGTTCACCTCCCGGCTTTTTGCAGCGGCCGGTAGCCGGACAGCGCGGTGGGACGCGTCCCCTCCACGGAGCGCAGCGCATCGCCTGCCGGCGGGCACCGAAACGGTTTCGGTGCTGGGAACCGGCGCTGCCACGGCAGGGTCGGGACTGCACGTTCAGTCCCGTGTATCTTCTTTCCGGGGATGTTCGGGGGGTCCCAGGTCCGAGTTCCCGTGAGGCAGTGCCCGGCTCAGCCCAGCGACCCCAGCGCATCCTCGTCCCCTCGCGGAGCGGCGGGGCCGGGCACCCAGCTCCGGGCGGGGCGGCGGTACCGATGTGAGCGACCGGCCGTGCGCGGGAGCGCCCAACCACGGCCCCACCACGGCGGAGGAGCAGGGGAACGCCGGGCGAGGGCAGCGAAGGGCAGGTCAGAGCCCCCAGGCGAGGGAGCGAAGGCCAGAAACCGCGCGGCCCCGCGCTCCCAGAGCCTCCGCCGCTCGGCCCCATAGCCCAAACCGAGGTAATGCGGGAAAAAGCAGGCTAAAGCAGAAGCTTGTTAAATAATTTATTGATTTATACAAAGTCTTTCCAACCCGCGTGGAGACATTATTTGATCCCAATGTAAAATCAAGTGTCCATTTTCCTCTAGTGCTTTTTTGGGTCGTTTTCTCTCTTTTGATATTATTAAGCATAAAATCCGGAGGCAGGAGAAACCAAACCGCCAAAACACGTAGTAGAGGGAGGGATTGAAAGAAAACAGCCATTTTTTTACACTAGAAATATACAGCACAAAATCTGAAATTTATACAAAGTGGCTGAGCTTGGATTTGGCGACCCATAGAAAACGTAACAAAATCTGATTGTTAGGAGAAGGAAATCTGCAAGATGGTGAAAAGAAAGAGGAGCAAACCTCAACGGGACACGAAACAAAACCCCAAAACGCTGGAAAAATTCCTTTGAAATTTACACCGATGAGAGAGAAAATAATTTCATAACTTATTCTGTAAAAAATATATACATCTCACATACATCTTGGGCTGTACAACACCCCTCTCTGCCATGCCGCCGGGGCCCTCACAAGGTATCCGAGCTGGTGCTGCAGGGGCTCACCAGGGACAGGGCCGTGGGTTTGTGCTTCTTCAGTAGCCGCGTGATTTTTTCGTCGTCGGAGTTGGGGTCGAGGGGCTTGTTGTACTCCTCATCGTCCTCATTGTCCGAGCTCTCCTTCAGCTTCTCCGTCTCTGAGTCGTGCTTCTTCTTCGCCGAGGCCATTTCCGCCGCGTGCCGCTTCCGCCACTTGGTCCGTCTGTTCTGGAACCAGACCTGGGCACAGGCACCGGGCACGGCTCAGTCCCGCCGCCCCGGGACCCGACACCCTCCCCCGTGCCGGGCTGCCGCGTCCCGCCGCTGCGACACCACCGAAAGGTGACGCGCTGGGGACACCAACACCCCTACCCCGGTGACCACCCCGCGGACGTCCCCAGCCGGGGCAGTGCAATGGTAAAAGCGGAGGTTTCAGTGGAAAACGAGATACGGTGGCCAGAAAAATAAGGTTTTTTTGGGTGCCCAGCGCATCTCAACGGGTCGGGGCGCCTCAAGTCGTTGCCAAATAATTGCTTGGTTATGCAAAGGGAAGCCGTGCCGACTGCTGGATAGCATCTGCCCTGAAAACTCACCCGTGGGAAGCAGTTACCTGCTCGGCTTTTTGGGGAGGGGTTTGGGTTATTTTTGAGGGTTTGGTGGGGGTATCTATTTAGGGTTTATTTGTTTGGGGGTTCTTTTTTCGTTTGTTCGTTTTGTTGTTTTTTATGTTTGTGGGTTTGATTTTATTTTTTTTCTGTGTGTTCGTTGGGTTTGGTTTTGGGTTTTGATTTTTTTTCCGCCTCTGGTTTTGGTTTTTATTGGTTCGTTTGTTTGGGGGTTTCTGA